TGAGCTTTGCTAACCACTTTTGTTGAAACACAGTGGTGAGCCATTGATCCAGCAAATACTTCAAGCTACAATGATCAGTTTTTACCGTGAAATGCCTATTGAGAAGGTAGTGTCTCCACTTTTGAACTACAAACACTACTACCAATAACTCCTTCTCATAAGTAGATAATATTTGCTGCTGATTATTCAAAGCCCTGCTAATATAAGCAATAGGATGGTGTTCCTGCATGAGGACTGCTCCTATTCCATAACCTGAAGCGTCAACTCTACTATGAATTCTTTAGAAAAATCAGGTAATGCAAGAACTGGTGCACTACAGAGAAGGTTCTTGATTAACTGAAAAGCCTTTTTAGCTTGATCACTCCATACAAACCCATTCTTCTTAAACATTTCAGTCAAGGGCTTAGCCACCACTCCAAACCTCTTCACAAATCTCCTGTAATACCCTGTCAACACTAAAAAACCTCTTAATTGCTTAAGGTTCTGAGGTAATGGCCAATTTCTCATAGCTTCCACCTTGGCCGGATCAGTAGAGACCCCTTCAGCAAAAATAAAATGACCAAGGTATTCAACCTTTTTAACAGCAAAGAAACATTTAGATCTCCTAGCAAATAAACTATTGCTCGTAAGAGTCAGCAGTACTTGCCTTAAGTGATTCACATGACTCTCCAAATCAATATTATATATCAATATATCATCAAAGAAAACTAGCAAAAACCTCCTCAAAAAAGATTGGAACATAGAATTCATGAGGCCCTGAAAGGTAACTAGTGCATTTGATAACCCAAATGGCATCACCACACATTCAAAATGACCAGAATGTGTCCTAAAAGTAGTTTTTGGAACATCATCAAGAGCCATTTTGACCTGATTATAACCAGACCTCAAATCTATTTTAGAGAAGATTGTAAATCCATGGAGTTCATCTAAAAGGTCATCCACCAAGGAAATGGGAAGTTTATTCTTCACAGTGTTTTTGTTTAGCTCCCTATAATCCACACAGCCTCCATGAGCCATCCTTCTTCCTAACCAACACCACAGGACTTGCATAGGGGCTACAATTGTTCTGAATTACACCCTTACTCAAATATTCCTGCACCAACTTATCTATTTCATCCTTTTGATGCTTAGCATATCTTTAGGGTCTCTTATTAACAGGATTTGCGCCTTGCACAAGCGGAATCTTGTGATCATGTTCAAGTCTGAAAGGAGGTAGAGACTTAGGTTCTTGAAATACATCATCAAATTCAGTCAAGAGATCAACAACCCTAGGAGATAACTGAGGTTAAATGGCATGAGCAGTGATGGATTGCAACAATCCTTCTCCCTCTCCACATAGATGTATCATGGATAAATTGGCTCCCTCATCTAAAACCTTCTCAACCTGTTGTTTCCATATAGTTTTTACTCCCCCTTGAGTAGATCCTCTAAGAATAAGTCTTTTGCCATTGATTTTGAATTCCATCTACAACTTATCAAAATTCCACACAATATCACCCAAACTGACCAACCATTCAATGCCCAGCACCAAATCATGACCACCCAAAGGAATAAGCATTATATCTGAAGTAAAAATAGTATTTTGCAACCTCCATGTAAAATTCCTAACTATAGAGGAAATAGGAAGCTTGTACCCATCAACCACAGTAGCAGTAATAGGATCCAAATTCTCTATTTTGCAACCATATCGTTTAGCAAATCCAATATCTAAGAAGTTATGTATATTACCACTATCAATTAGAATATGAATAGAATTATTTTGATAATGACCAGTAACACACATGGTTTTGAAATTAGCTATACCCGATAAAGCATGAACTGAAATTTGCAATTCATCTACATCAGAAAGCTCATCAGCCACACTAGGCTCCTCAATAGTTTCCTTGTCCTCAAGCACTTCTAGCACTTGTACCTGTAACTTCTTGTGAGTTAAGCTATGCTCATGGGAGTATGGTTCATCATAGAAAAAACACAATCCACTGGCTCTTTTTTCACTCATAAAGGTTGGAGTTAAGGTTTTACCAGTCTTGAACTTCGAATTCACATATTCCTTCTGAGAGCTTGTATTAGAGATAGGTTTAGGAGCAAACACAGGTTTGACCCCTAACAGTCCTTTATGATTCTTGGCTATCACAACATGGGTAGAAGATCCGACAATATTCTTAGCATTGCTCAAGCTGGTAGGGGCATTGGTCGCTTCATACATTCGAGCTAATTGGAAGGCTCTCTAAACCAAAATGGGATTAAACATTCTTACCAACATCTAAATATCTTGTTTCAACCCGCCTAAAAAGCAACTTAAAGTGTAATTTTCAGACAACAATAAACGAGTGATAATAGAGTCAAATTCCTCATGATATTCAACAACTGATGATTTCTGCCGCAGCTTCATCAATTCAGCCATGGGATCATCACAAACATTTCCAAATCTTGCAATTACCAATTGTGCATAATCTGTCCAACACATAGAAGAACAATTTACAGTTTTAGATAAAGTTGTGTGTCATTGAAGAGCACGACCCTCTAAATGAACTATCGCTAATTGAACAAGAATGGGGTCAGGGGTGTTGTCGATCAAGAAGAAATTATTACACTGGTACAACCACTGATTCACATTTTTACCATAAAATCGTGGAAAATCAATGCGAGCAAGACAGGTACCACAGGAATACAAACCGGCATTGTGACTGTCGTGACGATTTACCCCTGGAGAGCCTTGTGATTGCTGCAATAAGAGGTCATCCATAGCTTTCTTCACAGATTCACCAATGGTTCGCTACATTTTCCCTGCAAGCTCAGCCAATCGATTTTCTAATCGAGCGGATAAACGCTCCTCCATGTCTTTTATCGCGTGAGCATTCCACGTCGTTTCTGCCATGGAAAAAACTCCGAAATGGATCGAACAAGCTGATACCAATTGTTGTGATTTTTCCTAGAACTAGGAAGATAAATCTGCGAAGAGCTAGAATGTGAAAAGAGAACCCAAGAATTGAAAGATTTCTATGTATTAATGAATTGAAGAGAATGAATAAGAGGGAAGATGCAATTGACGGAAAATTTTGTGTCTTTTTTTCCTCTCTCTACCTTTCTTTCTCATAAACTAACTACTATTAATAGCTACTTAACCCCAGCGGTTATAATTGCCTAACTAACTAAGGTTGACTTAACAATTACAACCCGATCATAATATTGAAAATACTTATATCACATTGAAGATAGTTTTCAACTTATAAAATTAAAAATTGTTAATATTTTGAACCTATTACAAAATATTCATCCTAATATTCATGAAGATTGGATTGAGATTGTATGTAGAAATCTAGATTGCTCAATCTAGTACATATTTTTGGAACGAAAAATGAGTTCCCTAACAACTAATTTTCATAATATCCAATCCGAAAATGTATTGTGTGTTCTACAAATTTAGAATACATTTTTATAACTCCCAACTTAAAATATGTTGCAAGAAAATAAAATTTGAAAATCTTATTCCATTTAAGTGAAAAATGAGATTTATTTTAATTATGCCAGAAGAAATAGCCAAAATCTTAACAGAAGTTAAAAGTTGACTATAACGTTCCATGTCACTCAAGGCTTCAATCCTCTTGCAATGGGAATTGTACTGCATTCCATTGCATCATTAAACTTAAACAAAAATACTGCTTTTTCTTCAGATGAAATGGTAGAAGCTGAAATAAGAATTATAAACTTAGATCATCCGCTTTAAAAATTAGTAGTCATACAACTGCTTAAAAAAACTATGTATTAACTTTTCAATCACGACTATTTAAATTTTTGTGGTAGTTCTTATTTTCCACAATAACAAGAATTCTCAGTTGATATCTTATCTACAGGAGATTTATCAAGCCATAATAACTCTTGTTTATTATAAAAATTTCTGAACGGTAAATTAACGAAGTTTTAAGACATTTAACATAGATACACTATAGTTCAAACACACCTATAATAGTGTTATGTTCTCAAAACCTAACATGATAAACTATATTTCTATATCATGAGTCCCTTCTGCTTCTACTTGCGATTTTTGTATGATGTGATTCTGTCGAGGGATTCTGTTTTGCTCCGTTCAGTACAAGTGGCCCTATGTCAGTAAAATCTTAGAAAAGTCAAGATAAAAAAATTTGTATTAAGGATGCACACCTAAAGCTCAATTTATAATTTAGAAAGTAGACGTACATACAAATGACGTATAGCGCTACCGCTAAAATGTTAGTTTTGCTTGTGCTATGACCATGCTATTAAAATGATAAGAGATACAAAAATTAGAAATATTAAAACTCCAAAGCACAGATAAGGCCATTGTTAGAAAGCAATCAAACCGGTCTGTAGGTTATGCCCAGACATCTTTAATTGATCATCGTAGAGAACCAACATCCTATTATAGAAGGATTGACCTTGTTTCATATACATAACTGGTATATGTAAGTTTAACATTAAATACAATCTCAGATTGAAGTTATCTTAATCTAAACGCGCTTAAAATGAAACAAAAATGTAATTGAACCCTAAGGCAAAATGTGCCATTGAAAGGTAATTACTAATCATCTCAATCTGATTTCTGTCTGTAACCACGACTGCATTTCCAAACCCCTCATAACTGTTTAATTACATTTACTTGACAGGACTGACTTGCTACTTTTGTCTCATCTTTCCTTCCTTTTCATTTTCCTTTCTCCATTCAGGGTATATTTCAAATCATGAGCATAAACTTGAAGTACATATACACTCCGCCAATCAATCAACTTATCCGAATGGCATGAGACAAAATCTCAGGTATATGCTAAATCTTCTGATGTTTGGGAATGATGACGCTGACATAACATCACAAAAGGTGACAATGAGGAAAACTCAAGCATCAGCTCATTCAGACTCTAACATCCTTTCAGGTTACCTTACCAGCCAATGTGACTCTCTAACAAAATGCCTGACAAGCAAAGATCATCCAGCAGTGTATTTCGACTCTCCACCCTTTCAAGTTTTCATTTTTTGTCTTTACGAGCAAGAAATCGTTCTCTAGCAGCTTGGATTCTACTTTCACGATCATCAGCAGTACTAGTAACCTCAACATCCTTCTTGGGTAAATCTTGAAGATTTTTCTCAGGTTCCTCCTCAACATGATGAATACTACCACTGCTTCAGATAAAGGAATTAGAGCCATCAATGATCAATGCACCCCTCCCCCAAAATATATGAAAAAGAAAAAAATGTACTCATCTGCCATATTTTCCAAAAGGTTTAATTCCGTTATAGTTTACCTTAATTTGTACACATCCAGGGTCTTGAGCTTGTTAATAATGGGTATAACCCATCTCATCTCAACAGCACATACATTTCTCATGAATGGCCGTGGTGTTGCAATTAGTTCATGGTAAACAACATAGTCTGGGAACTTTCCCAGGTCATCAAGACTCAATACAGATGATGGATGCACCTAGAACAGAAGATTCAGGTAATCAATGTATCTACAAACCAGAATTCAGTTGAAATTGACAAATACTAGCTAGTAGCTACAAATTCACGGTACATAGACTTTTCTTTTTTTTCCTGGGACATTTCTGTAAGTTCCATCACCCATATAGATATGAACTTCAAAGTAAAAGTGAATGGATTTAAGGAAAAACCATTTATACTAACACCCATGAATTAAAAGTGCTGCAAAAAGTAAAGGTGACATGCAATAGTGAATATCAAGTTGTATTACCTGGACTACTTGAGCTTGGAAACCCAGAGTTCGATAACCATTGTGGTGCATCTTTCTTTCAGCCAGCTGATTTGCATAGCCCACACATAAAGCCTTCCTCAAATTTCGATAATTTTGCCTGAACTCTTCTCTTTTCCCATTAGCCTTTACATCCAGTGGTCCTATTGTGTGAGTGAAAAAAAATACATATAGGTAAAGTGGGGAGGAAACAACATACATAACATGATAGAAAAAATGGAATTGTCTTTCCCAACAAGAATAGTGATATGGGAAATTGGTAAGTGTGCTGTGCAACCATCTATTTCCGTGCAAGAACTTGCCAGCATTTTAGCAAATTCCTTTAGACTCTCAATAAGTTATAAGTTAGAACTCAATACAACCAAGAGAGCTTTAAATTAGAGGAAATTGCAGTTAACTCCTAACACTTTCCTAAATTATACTTACACTCTTTCTACTTTTCAAATAGACACTCACCATATTTTCGTTCATAATAAAATGAAATCCATCCCTTATTTTATTAAATGACCACCATGTTGATTAAAACTTTAGAATAAAATTAAGAAGATTAAAATCATAATTTTAAAATATAAAAAATTTTAAAATATAAAAAATTTATAAGCAAAAAATTGAAGGATTTAATTATTATTATTATTATTATTATATATTAACAACGTAAAAAAAATCATCTTATCAACCAATTACAGTTTGTCTCCCCAAATTTGAGTTTTAATTCCAAAATGACAAGGAAAGTAAATTGACCATCATAACCCCCAAACTATCTAACAACAACTAATTCTTACAAAATTACTTTTGATAAATATTATCAAGCATGAAACTCAAACTTCTAAGTTAGAATAGATGAAATCATCTTATCATATCTTAGAATAATTAGATTATCCTCAAGGATTCGTTTACCTATGTCCTTTATCTCTTAGGATTCGTTATCATATTTATTTGTTTTATCATGATTAGTTTTTGTAATTAGCTAGGAATATCATTAGTATAAATAAGGGTTTATAATATAAAGGACAAGCCCTGGCACAACAGTAAAGTTGTGCTTTGGTGACCACTTCTTGGTCATGATTCGAATTTGGAAACAGCTTTGAATATGCAAGGATGAAAGTGAGTACAATGACCCCCTCCCATACCTTTACATAACGAGCATCTGGTTTGTATAGTTTAAAAGGGTTAATACTATAGGTTTTATGAATATATTAAATATATTAACACATTGTAATACATCTCGGTTAATAACAATTTAGTGTTCTATTTTCTATATCTATTTGCTCACTCAATATTTAAGATGACTATATCAACATTCTAAAAGTAACAACTTGAAAATTAATCCTATATTATACAGAAGCTCGTATCAACACAATAAGGATGGAGAGGCAAACGGAAAAGAACAATTAAAAGGATTAAATAGGATATGAATGTGCTAAATGTCAAATGTGGTTCATTTTACAAGTGCCATTATCACTGCATCTGAAAGTATATTATTATTCACTTCAACAGGTCAATTCCTCAAGAATGTGGAATACTAACCCTTTGATATTTTCTGCATTATCTGGGATAACTGCTTATGGACGTCTTTGACAAACAACATCCCTCGCACCTTCAATCAGTTAATCCAGAATCATCACATATATTATGCATTAAACAAATACAAAAGATTCACATGTAGCTATCACTTAATATTTTATAATGGCTCTCCTATGAAGACTATAAATTTTAGACAACTGTTGGAAATAAAAATGCAAACATGCGTTATCATTATCATCAAGAAATAACAGAGCATGTCTTTTCAGTGACCCGTAACACATTTTTCTTTACAGGATATAATATCTGAATCAAATTTGTGAAGAGTGAAGACAAATATTCCACAAGGATATTACTAGCCCTGTAAACATTTTAACAACTTCATTGCAAAATCTCAGTCCCAAATTTATGTCATTTTTGGCATTACTAGAACACGCATAGGTACCTGCAAGCCATTATCTTTGCACCAGCCGATGTCAAAATCAGTTTGATCCCAGCAATGGTATATCTGTAGCAATTGAATGTGATCACCCAATCCAGAACCATCAGGAAGATTAGATATTGAGTGTTTCCTCTTTTTCTCAGTCTTTCTACACATTAAAGGAATGTTATTACTGATCACTCCCAGTCACAGTCTTTTTGCATGTTCAAATGTATAAGCATTCAGAAAAGCAAGATACATATCTTCCTGTGTCACAGGGGTAGAAGGGTCATTGGACAAGGAGTCACATGGATATGATGTGATCGCACAAGGAGTCACATGGCAAAACTGTTATGACGTGTCAAAGGGTGATGAAGGCAAGGCTAACAAAAAAAGTGATCGCACAAGGAGGGCCAATCAGACCTTGAAGGGATTTGTATGGTGAATGAGGTCAATATATAAAGATTAAAGAAAAAGAGATGAGGCGAGGATATCTTTGAAAAATCTGTTTTCTCTCTCCAACCCACGGGAATTTTCTTCTGTTTCCTTCGCTGTATTCTGCTGCACTGTTCTCAATGTTAGCCATTGGTCCATTCTGTAAGAAACCCATATATTACTATAGTCATAATACAATATAAAGGTCTTTCAGCATTACTCTCCTGTCTTATAGTTCTTTTACTGTAAGCTTCTTACATTGATGCTTTCATTGCTATCATGGCTAAAAATACCTGGTTGAAAGAGCTTGGTGCTGCTAATATTAAAACAATTCTCTAACTGATGGAGAAACGTCATAGCCTATACTTCCAGATTCAAGAAACTTGAATAATCTATGAGAGAGATAGCATTAACCCATTCTACTGGTGGTTCGAACCCCAGTACTATGCAAATGAGCTACAATCCACCATTTCAAATTCGAAATATTAAGCAAGACTTTCCAAAATTTGATGGGTCCAATGTGTTACCACTGGATATTCAAAGCCAAACAGTTGTTTGAGTATTACTCCAAATTTACAATGATTGACTATTGTTTCCATTCACAATGACAAAGATGTGGTGCCTTGGTTTCAAATGATGCAGAAAAACAATCCTTAGAGTTGGAATTTGGGCCTTCACCATTTGCACGATCTACCTTATTCAAACTTACTCAAACTGGATCTGTTGGTGCTTATTATTCGAAATTTCTACTCTAGCCAACAGAGTTATTAGTATTACAACAGATGCATTGCTAGACTGTTTCATAACCAAACTGAAAACGGATAACCGCAAAGATGTGATTGCTCAAAATCCCACATCATTATTGAAAGTTGTGTCCCTGACCAAATTTAAGGAGAAGCATATTGCTACCCTTAAAACTTTATTATCATTCCCCTTCTAACCAATACCTAAACACAAAACAACAAGGCAACAACCTTCCCCCTCTTTTACCTACCCCAAACCAAAAACCAGTCAGTCAACTGTTGATGCCCACTGATGTCAAAAAGTATTACGAACAAAAATGCAATTGAGAAGTGACAAAAGGTTGTGTTATAAGTATAATAACAAATTCACACCTAACCATGAATGACCCAATCAATAGTACTTGTTAATCCAATTCGATGAATTGGATGACCACCTCCCAACCTTGCTCTTCCTGATTTTGTTACTAAAGCCAATACTGATAATGCAATTGAACATCATCTTTCTTATAATGCATTGAAAGGTGACTTTTAGGCTCTATCAATGGTATCACTGTTAAACTCTTGCTAGATAGTGACAGCTCCGATAACTTCCTTCAACCTCTTCTCATTATCTAAAACTTCCTGTAGACCTGATTTCAAATTTTAAAGTTCTAGTGGGAAACAGGAATTTGTTGGTGGTAGAAGGACTTGAGAAGGAGGTCACAGTTTCTGTTCAGGATCAGAAGCTAAGACTTTCTACATATTTATTACCAAATGTGGTGCTGTCCTTGTTTTGGAAGCTTCCTGGTTAGCAACTTTTGGCCCCCATGTAGCTGATTACAATACATTGACCAAGAAATTTTATTTGGGAGGGGATGTGACTTTGCAAGGTGAGAAAACAAAGTTACCTACAGAACTTCATCACATTCGAAAACTCTGTAATACTCAAGCTATTGATGAATTCTTTTCCATTCATGATTGGTTGGAATTGCCTGCTGATATTCAACATGACTTAGCATTACTGCTATACAATTATAGAACAGTGTTCGATAAGCCTATTTTCATATCCTTTCCTTTTAGTAAAAAAAAAAAGATGGTACATGGAGATTTTGTACTGATTATCATGCCCTTAACACCATCTCAATTAAAGATAGCTTTCTCATACCCCACTGTAGATGAACTCCTAGATGAGTTGGATGGTGCACAATACTTTTCAAAAGTAGATTTGAGATTCAATTAACATCAAGTCCTAGTTTCTCTAGAAGATCGATGCAAAATGGCATTTAGCTTGTCATTGGCACTTTGAATGGCTTGTCACCATTTGACTTAACAAATGTCCCTGCCACTTTTCAGAGTTTGATGAACCAAGTTGTTCAGGGATTGCTTCAAAAATCAGTTTTTGTGTTCTTTGATGATAGACTAGTTTATAGTCCCTCATTGTCCAACATCTTCAACACTTGGAAATTGTCTTGAAGATCCTGCAGCAGCATAAGCTATTTTCCAAGTTATCCAAATGTCAATTTGGACTGACTGAGGTAGATTATCTTGGTCAGAGTTTCGGGCAATGGATCAATTCAAAATACAAGCAGTATTGAGCTGGCAACTTCCTTCGACATTGAAGCAACTAAGGGGGTTCTCTTAGCTGCCTCTCTCACCAATCTATTGAAAAAAGGGTGTTTTCAACGGAACTCTCATGCTAATGGACATTTCAGCACCTCAAGGAGGGCATAATAATGGTCCCAGTATTAGCATTACCAGATTTTTCCAAAACATGCATCCTAGAGACAAATGCTTCAGACACAAGTATTGGTGCAATTCCTAGGGTCATCACCCTATTCCATTCTTTTCAAAGATATTATGTCCTAGGGGCAAAAAACGTCACCATATACAGGGATACTATCACAGAAGCTATTTCCAAATTTAGGCATTATTTTTTGGGCGATAAGTTCATTATTAGGACTGATAAAAATAAAGCTTAAAATGCCTCATGGACCAAACCATCCAAACACCAGGATAGCAAGCCTGGCTTCATAAGTTCCTTGGATATGATTTCTCTATTGAATACAAACCTGGTCAATGGAATGTTGGGGCTGATGCAATTTTCAGATCATTTTTCATGGCTATTTCTCAACCTACATGGGACATCATCACTTTACTTATAGTTGCTATTGCATCTGATCCTAAATACAATGAGATTCTTCAAGCATGCAACCAAGTTGACCCTCATCCAAACTATTCTGCCCAAGATCACCTGCTTTAGTGGAAACAACAATTGGTATTTCCTCCTAAGCATCCATTGTATTTCCCAAGATTCACTTGCACATTCTCCAAGAATTCCAGAACTTTCCCATTGGAGAACATGCTAGAATCACAGTACTGTTGTTACAATATCTGCCCAACTTTTCTGGCAAGGCATGAATCAGGGAAACCATGTGCAACAATGTCTCTTATGCCAACAAGCTAAAATAAGTACCAGCATATGTGTTGACCTCTTGCAACATCTTCCCATTCTTGCCCAAATTTGGGAAGACTTGGCCATGGGCTTTATTGTTGGTTTACCCCCCCTCTCATGGCTTTGCAGTTATTCTAGTTGTTATAGACCGATTATCTAAATATGCTCATTTTGCCACACTCAAAAACAGATTATACCAGCAAACTAGTTGCTAAAGGCTCCATGAAGCACATTGTGAACTTGCATGGCATTCCAAAATCAATTGTATCCAACCAAGACAGAGTCTTCACTAGCAATTTTTTACAGCAATTGTTCAAATTGAGTGGCAGTACCCTTGCCATGAGCTCAGCATACCATCCCAAAGTGTAATCGAAGGCCCTTAGTAGATGTTTAGAGATTTATTTGAGGTGTTTCACAGTGGATAATCTGAGGGAATGGTGTAAGTTACTTTCGTGGGCAGAATTTTGGAACAATAGGTCTTTACAATCTAGCATTGGCATAAATCCATTTAAAGTTGTTTATGGCCAAGATCCCCCAACCATTAGAAAATACCAAGTGGATTATAGTGATCCCCACCCTCCTACAAGAGTTGTTGCAACAAAGAGGCCTAACTTGCACTCAACTAAAAGCACATTTGATTAAGGCTCAAAATCAGATGAAGAAATTTGTGGATAAAAAACGCATTACACTGGAGTTTGAGGACAATGTTGATATTTATGGGGCCAGAAATGTCAGAGGTAGAAGGGTCATTGAACAAGGAGTCACATGGAAATGATGAATTGGTTAGGAACTTGAGAAAACCATTATGCAAAACACACATGTCAAAGGGTGAGGAAAACAAAAAAGTGAACACACAAGAAGGGTCAATCAGACATTGAAGAAATTTTCTATGGTGAATGGGGTCAATGTATAAAGATTAAAGAAAAAGAGAAGAGGGCAGAATTTCTTTGAAGAAACTGGTTTCTTTCTTGGGCCCATAGGGAATTTTCTTTTGTATCCTTCACTGTATACTGCTGTACTGTTCTCAAAGTTAGCCATCGGTCCATTTTGTAAAAAACTCTACTGTTTTATAGTGCTTTTTTACTGTCAGCTTCTTACACTATGTCCCTGTTTTTTTCTCATTTGTTTTATTCACTGGTAGTAGCAATACTCACAAGTAAAGATATTTTAAAATATTTTATAAGAATGGGGTTAATAGAAAGACTGTCCTTTTCAATATGAGGAAACACAGGGATGCTAGGATCCTCCTCTATCTCTGCATGTGTGTGTCTATTTTATATGTATAAACGTCAGAGTTTAGATTATTCCACCTCTGCCCAGGCAGCAATGTAGTCTCAACTGATAACATGGCAGCAACAATCAAAGCCTCAGATAAGCAACCATAATTTTTTGCCTCCATTAAAGTTCTTGCTAAGGATGGTTCTAATGGAAGCTCTGCAAAGAATCAAGAAACAAGTCAGCAAATAAAATAAGTACTAATCCCATATACATCTGATTACGAAAATGAATGGGTACGAAAAGAATGAATTTTGTGATCAACACTAAGCACAACTTTCATAGTCAAATCTGGCAGAAAGGATCTTCTATGAAAGTAATAGACAACAAGATATGGTAAACTAGTTATGGCCCTTTTCAAAATCTTGATCAAGATAATAGTATAACATATTGTGTTATTTCTGCATGCAGGTTTAAAATTCAACAGTAACATGTAAACAAAAAATCAAGTACCAGCCATTTTCTGTCCAATACTTGTAATTGCACCATTTTCATCAATAGCATCAATCAGATATAACTGCTTCAACGCATCTTGTAAGGATTCAGCTACAGAAACCCAGTTATCCAATCACTAAATTAAACTTGACTAAAAACAATTAACTTGCTAGTTGTTAGTCAAAGATAAAGCAATAACATTTAAAACAACAAGAAACTAATACAAGGACTGAGCCCCAACCCCAAAATATAGAAAAAGGAATTAAAATGTTTGAGATGACAATAAAAGATTCCCAGGAGTATCACTGAGAATAAAGTTTAGTAACTTAATGCTGCAAGGAGAGAAAGTGTCAATAGATAGATAGTGTGTTACATGATGGAGGATCCAGAAAGTCAAATCTTAGAATGTCAATATCTGGGAGGTCCAATGACTTTAAGTAAAGAACACTGCCAGCGAGGGAAGATCTCTGAATTTCCGGAACTGTAACATCCAAAAATTCATCATTGTAAAAACGAGAGGGGTATAGTCGGTAGCATTTCCCAGGACGTGTTCGTCCAGCTCGGCCTGCACGCTGATTAGCTTGCACTCTGCAGTCAGGAATTATTTGAAATCATCTAAAACCTGAGTCAGGTATTTAAGAATTTATGAAGCCACAAAGATATACCAAACTACTAATTGCTTACTTGCTAATTTGAACAACATCAAGAGAATACATGCCACTAGATGGATTGTACTGCCGTTGCTTCACATAACCACAGTCAATAACATACCTAAAATTCATAAAATTTAAAACTATGAGAAGACAAGGATATGTGCTTGATGTAAAAGATAAAATGACTGAAAACCATTCAAATTCCCGTAGGTGAATTCACATGGAAAGGTGTTTTGTCTGACTTGTCTCAATAGTTGCATCTCATAAAGGCTAAAGCACATCCTGTCCCCCCCGCCCCCCTCAGCTCTTTAGTCTTTACATGAATTTCATTGCAAAAACAGTTACAATCTAAACAATAAAGTGATTTTTAAATTATGTCAGAAATAGAATGCATCACCAGCTGCACCATACAGTATATACTGAGCACTCACTATTGCTTTGCCAATAATGTTGTAATACCTTTCTGGGTGGAATATTAAGCAATATTGGCAATGCTTTTATAGAGTTTAATCATGAACTTCGGTACTTCTTCAATTAACGGATTACAGAAAGCTTGGTTTTCAAAACACTTATAATTTCTTCTCTGGATAAGAATGAAATAAATAGGCTACAGAAAGAAAAAAAAAATTGTATTATAATAATAAGTAATAATAGCAATTAGCAACAACAACATTAAAATACAACAATTTATCTTTGTGATGATACATAACGAGACACCTGGATATGCTCAAGTAAAGTTGTAAACAATATCTAATCAAGTATCAAAGTCCTTACACTACACCATCAACAGTCAAGGAAGTTTCAGCAATATTTGTTGCAACAATAATTCGTCTACAATTTGGAGGTGGACGACTAAATACACGCATCTGTACAATTATACAAGAGATGGATGAGTTTCAGTGACAACAATAATAACAATAGCCTTATAGCAGAAGTTGGCTACATGCATGATTATCAAATGCACCAAAACAAATTATTGTGCCTCGAACTCTATTTTCAAGGACAAAATATCTTAAACATCAATTATTGTATATTTAAGGTCCCCCCCCGCAAAAAAAGGAACAATTATGAGTGTTAATTGTAAGCAAAGAAATATGATTTGACATATGTTACAAAGCAAACAAGGTCAGTAACAAGTTAAAAGAGGAAGGAACTAAAATACATCTTACAATTTGCCATAGTGGATAACTCAATCCCACAAAAATAGTTGCAAGATTGAACATCTACGTGATCCAACAATGACCCAATAATAGATGGCCTGATAAGCCCAAAATTGTAAGATGAGAGTTGTCCTTCACTTATATACACTATATTTTATTCATATCTCTAATCAATACAGTTCTGAAACAATAAATACACTCAAGGCAGTTTCACACTTAAGCCAGAAACATTTTTCAAATGCAAATCAGTCAAGTTTGACATTGACAAAACTAAGAAAACTAACAACTATGTACAGGAATGAAATAATAATTCCTTTCTGAATATTCTCACCATTACTGCAGCTTTTATCTGAAGTATGAGTCATGCCCAGTTTATAGAAATCTGACTGTATTTGGAATTTATACTAACTCATGCCAAGCAGATTTTTCAATCAGAAAGATTTTACAAACAAAAATTACTTACCTGCAATTCAGGGGGCAAAGAACCATGTAGGGGAAGGATTATAGCATCCATGCAGGAACCTTCCTCGAGAGCACGAACCTTATCTTCTAACTTAGATACCAACTTCTCTATGTCATCCTAGATGAACACATCATTGAAACATGTTCAATTGTTGCATCATAGAAGAAACTAAGGGATTGAGGATACAAGTTAATTCCAGAAAACAAATGCTTACACACACACAGACATGAAATCTCTCAGCAAACTTCAACAAATAAAAGGGATGATTTCCCCTAAATAAGTTGGAAAAACAATTTGGATTCTGAAAATGCACTAAGATTTACATTCTGGAGAAGAAATTATAGGGTAAATACCACATAACAAAAATGTTTACCTGTCCAGTCATGAATATTAAAACATCCCCTTCTGGTTGGTGAAGATGTATATCTGCAAAACCAATATGACAAAATTTCCTGACTTTCTACTTGCCAATTACAACCCATTCAATCAGTAAAGGAGCTAAAGGAAGCTCTTGCGATTATTCACATCAACATGAATATAAATTTCACATTTGAGGTTTAAAATGCATGCCACCCTCCTTATCAGCTTATGTTCTTATGTGCGACAACCTTAACCAAGACCATTCTCTTTTAAGAGCCAATACCAATTTGAAGTAATCTTACCTTAAGGATGGCAAATATACATGTCTGATACAAGTTTTTATCAATATGCAATGAGCAAGGCAAACATTTAACACTTGGACAGAATTTTTACTAACTTTTACATGATGCGATGTCAAATTTATTCATACACACAAGCAGGCATTTAACTTTATATGCAGACAAGCTTCAAATTTCACGTCGTACCAAGAGCTGTTTTCAGTGAAGACTCGAGGTAGCTCGAGGGACGCTCACTGCTATAAAGAACCTCAACGGGATACAATTTTCCCGGGATGTTCAATACCGGACAATCAGCAAAGAACTTGGACACTTTATCACCATCAAGAGTCGCAGACGTGATCAAAACTTTGAGATCAGAGGAACGAACTTTAACCAAGCGTTTCATCAGACCCATCAATATATCCCTGATAATAAACACACCAATCACCAAAAATTTCATACACAGCAGCTAAAAACCTAACACGAGAGAACAGCACACAGTATTCAATCGTACGTGTTTAAACTCCGTTCATGCGCCTCATCCAATATGATAACAGAATACTCCTTCAACTCAGGATTTGCCAGACTTTCACGTAACAGGACGCCATCGGTAAGATACCTTCGTATTATCAAATCAATGACAATCAGAAACCAATTGAAAACAAAACCAAGTCAAGTCAATAGAGTAATAACATCGGGAACGCGATTACTTTATGCGCGTGTTGTGAGAAGTCCTATCCTCGAATCGAATAGCGTAACCTACTTCCTCACCGAGCTGAACACCGAGCTCGTGTGCGACTCGTCTGCGGAAGTTAAACGAGGACGTATTGGTGATAAGCCAAATGCAGTGGAGACGAGTCGACGCAATTGGTTGGAAATTGAAGAGGTGTTACCTAGCGACGGAGACGGCGGCGACTCGACGGGGCTGAGTAACGGCGATTTTGCCGTAGCCGCGGCGGTGAATCATCTGAGAGAGTTGAGTGCTCTTGCCGGAACCCGTCTCTCCGATGACAACCACGACAGGATTCCGCTCAACGGTTTCGATGATTTTTTCTTCATATTGGACTATGGGAAGTGAAACCATCTTTTCCTAACCAGAAAGCACCTGTAGCTATTCGTTGTTTTGTGCCTCAATCAAATTAAAGAGTATCGCAGTCTAAATGTATATATCCTTTAAATGATGTTATCCAGGTTAGGAGTAGAGGGGTCATACACTGTTCACTTCAGTCCAATGCCACGCCTCACCTATAAATTTTTGTGATTCATTATAATTCATATTCTAAAATACATTGTGATTTTTATATTCATGTGAGGTGAATGGGGCATCATAGCTTTTTTTTTTTTTTTTAAATAAAAATTAGTAGAAATATTTTAAAATATATATTAATAAATAATATTTTTTTAAAATATAATTATAAATTTATAGAATGAATCTGCTCGTAATTATATTTCTAAAGTATTTATTTACATCTAGACAGTTTTTTTTATAGATTATAATAGGTTTTTCATAAATGTGGTGTAATTTTTTAAAAACTTAAAAAATAAATAAACTTTAAAATAATTATAAAATTAAGTAAATCGTGTTTATATTACGATAAAAAAAAACGTATTTTATAGCATGATATTTATGTTAATTTAAAAAAAATGTATAATTAAAAAAAAGTATACAAATTACTACTTCAATAATAAAAAGTAGTGAAGTTGTATGACTATTATTTACTATTTTTAATAATTTATTGTTATTATAAAAATATGAATGTAATAACTGCTACCAACTTGATCCGTTGCAAGATCATATATATATATATATATATATATATATATATATATATATATATATATATATATATATATATATATATATATATATATATATATATATATATATATATATATATATATATTCACCTCTCACTACTATATATAATTTATTTTTAAAAATAAGAATCACAAAGTCTTTTAAAAAAAATTTCAAAATTTGATTAGAAAGAAGTTTTGTTATTTTGTTTTGAAATTTATTAAAGGTAAAAAAAAAGATTTTATCAAAATATTTTTAATCATATATTTGTTAGAGAAAAAACATCAATAAATATAAGATTTAGGTCACTTAAAACTAGTTTAATAATATTTTAAGACTTTAAATATTTTTATTCAAAATATTAGCCTCTTGACATAAATAGATAAATTCCTTTAATAATATTTAGTTTTTTGAAATATTCCTTAATCAATTTCTAACAAATTTACCCACTTAAATACAACAATATGTTTATTAGTGTGAAAAACTTTCCCTCATCTATTCAAAATCTCGAAGACCCTCCATGTAAAGAATAAAAGAGAAATTAGACATTCATCCAATACTCATTTTAGAAAAAAATGGATCCAATCCTTAACAAAATTAACGACCAAATAACTTTTTTCTCAAAGACTTCCATTACCCTCTAATAGACCTAAAATTGATAATAAAATTTTATGAATATATATTAGTATATACTTGATCTATCAAAGTCTACCATACCAAAGATGACAAATGGATTATTCAACTCTCAAACTAAAAATATTACAAATTTTAACTCGTGCAATATTGGAATCAACCCTTACACCAAAAGAAATCCTTTACAAGGTCTTTTTACCCCAATTTTATACTTATTATGATTATTTAGAAGCTTGATTACATATTCTCTATGTATACCTAGGAAATCACTCATGGTTTATATGATTCAGAAGAGACATTTCTTTAAAATTTTTGAAATGATTCATTAAATGGTTTGTGGATTTTGAACCTTTACTGTCAATATTTCCTACCAAAGAAAATGAGGTGTTATCTTATTTTAGAGAAAAATCCACATTTGTTCAAGGATATAAATTGATTTCCTTTATAGTCACCCAATCAATTGCTTAGATATTTGCATGGGATTATATCATAGAATAATCATACAATAAAGTTAACACCAAGATGATGGCTAAAAAAATTAAAATTAAATGGTGGGAAAGATTCAATATTGATCTTATCAATAAAGCCAAGATTGATGAATGGTTAAAATTAATAGAGAAAGGAAGGAAGAAAAGTCTTCTCAATTTACAAAAGAATCATTATTTGTAGTAAAAAAGAAAAAAATTAATGACAAAGCTCGTTTCGGCTACCTCAATGTAGTAGAAAGATTGACAAAATCAAGATCAAACACAGAAGAATCTGACTTGAAAGAAAGCAACAAACACTTCAATCCATTTGACATATTTGATTAAAGTAAAATAGTCAAGATTCTCATACACAATTAAGGCACAATGCAACAAAGAAATTTAAAGACCAAGATAATGATGCTTATCCTGAAGGAATCTTTTAAGCATGATGGGATTTAAAGATGATATTTATTAAGAAGGAATCTTTAAAGTACAAAAGACTTAAAGGTTTTCCATTGTTAGTCAACAATAAGTAATTTGTTGAAAGAAAACCTATGAGGAGGCCTAATAACTCTGTTGGATCTCCTCACTTCAACTATTGGGGTGATAGGAATAGTCTCTTTAATAGTCTTGTCTCCTAAGCTCCCACATTTTCCTAAAAGATCGTCTTCTGTAATATTCTCTGTTGGCTTCTTTCCGGCTTCAACTTTTGTCTCAAGTTTATCTTTGTACATTGCATTTTCATTAAATGTAACATCTTTGCTTCTAATGATCTTTTTGTTTTGATCATCCAAGAAGCGATATCCCATATCATTTTCTCCATAGCCAATAAAAACGCATTTTATTGCTTTCGGATCAAGCTTGTCCTTGTTAACATCTTTAACACGAACATAAGAAGCACAACCAAATACTTTCAAATGAGAAAGACTTACATCCTTACCTTGCCATTCTTCCTCAGGAATCTTAAATCCTATGGGAACTGAGGGTCCTCGATTAATGAGATATGTTGTTGTGCTCACTGTTTTTGTCTAGAATGTCTTCAATAATTCTGCATGAATTCTCATACTTTTTGCCCTCTCATTCAGGGTCATGTTCATTCTTTCAACAATATCATTCTGCTAAGGTGTCTTAGGAATAAGTTTAAACATTCTAATTCCATTCTCAGTGAAGGTTATCAGACTCAAGAGTCTACGTAGACTTGTGAGAGGTCGAGTAAACTAGATGTTAAGTGACAAAAATTGATGTAATATTGTTCTTAATTGTTATGTAACCATTTCAATTATATTAATTTTAATCTATTTTTCTCCCAATGTATGATGAATTGGTAGAATACCTTGATACAAGAGTAAAGATCATAATTGTGAAGATAATTGAAAAAAAATTGAAAGAATGAAGAAGATTTTCAACTGGAAATTCGCTCGAGCGCCAACTATGCTCGCTTGAGCAAAAATACGTTAAAACTCTCTGGAGTTCACTCGCTCAAGCGTCATCAATTCTCGCTTGAGCGAAAATATGTTAAAGCTCTCTGGTTTCTACTCGCTCGAGCGAACATTACTCGCTTGAGCGAACATTACTCGCTTGAGCGAAAGTTGATGTTTTCGCTCAAGTGAGTAATTGGTCACTTGAACGAATGATGCGCGACCCAATTTTTTTAATAAATAGATAAGACACGTTTTGAGATGAGAATGAGATTTTTGGAGAAGAGGTGCGACGAATGTTTTGTTCTTCATCAATTCTTCAATTATTCTCTATTTGGATGCTTGTAATGGCCATCATGAGTGGCTAACTTCATTCTCTTAGGATTGGGTGCACTTCCTTTAAACTCTTTTGTATCTTGATGATATTTTGAGATATTAATATATGTTCTTGATGTTGTTAGTCTTATCATTTGTGCCTTTGAACGTTTACTCTTGATGTTTGGGATATGATTGGAAAATATATCTTAAACCCTAGATCATGGTAAGAATATTTGTTACGTTAATTGCCAGGAATGGAATGAATGTATTAATTGCTTAATACCCTAAACCTAATATTGGGAAATCTATTAAATGTATGAGGAATCAACGTTTATTAGATTTTCTTATGAATTTCATGTGTGAGAAATCAATGTGAATGATTTAAGTAGATGACATCAACATTGATCGGTTAATTGTTGTTCTTAATTTGACCTAGCTATTATAGAAAAGAGGGAAAAGGAATGAAAATAATTCTATGTTCTTTAATTTGATCTTTTCTAAAAACATTTTATAGTTCTTTGCCATTTATTTTCAACCTAAATCTTTATGAAAAACCAGTTTTGTTTTAATCCACTTAGTAAGCTTATAATTTGGAGTTCCTAGTGAAACCATTCCTCGAGGGATCAACTTTTATTAAATCAAAATAGTATACTGCGATTGATAATATTGGTGCGCTTGTCAATTATTCAACAAGTATTTCTAGCACCGTTGTCGGGGAACGACGTTCCTTGGGAATTCTTTGTTAGCTTATTAAGTATTGTGAATTTTTTCTTTATAGTTTGTCTTTTTATTTTCTTTTGCTTATTTGTTGTCTTGTGTTAATCCTTACTTGAGTTGCTCTTTTGATTTATGTTTTTAAGAGGACAGGTTCCTATAGATCAACTAGAATTTAATCCTGAGATAAAAAGACTGTTCGGAGGAACCGTGGTAGAAGAGAAACTTAATAACAAACAAATTAACTCTTTGCCCGCACTCAACTTACCAGATCCAATCATAAAAGACATGGAGGGTGAAGGAGTAGACCGACCTAGAAGAACACTCGAAGATTATGTTATGAAACAAGGTCCGAGACACTTCTCCAGCATTGCAATACTAGCCAACCAGTCCTTGGAGATGAAGCCAACCTTATTAAGTTTGATTAGTGCTCATTAATTCACTGGAATGGATCATGAAGATCCTTATATTCATTTGTCTACTTTTTATGAGTTAATTGGTACCATGGGGTTTAGAGAATGAGATATTGAATATGCATACATAAGATTATTTCCTTTTTCACTAGCTAGCAGGGCAAAACAGTGGTTAAAAGCACATTCTAATTAAAGTTTGACCAACTGAGGGATTGTAGAAGATAAGTTCTTAAACAGATTTTTTCCGTCATCCTGCTACATCAAAGCAAAGTCCGACATTTCTACTTTCAGACAAGGAGCGGATGAACCTTTTTGTGAAGCAT